AAAATTGCAAGAACAAGGGCCTAGCGTGTGCAAAATAGCAAGAACAAGGGCCTAGCGTGTGCAAAATAAAAAGAACAAGGGTCTAGCATGTGCAAAATTACAAGAACAAGGGCCAAGCGTGTGCAAAATAAAAAGAACAAGGGCATAGCGTGTGCAAAATAGCAAGAATAAGGGCCTAGCGTGTGCAAAATAAAAAGAACAAGGGCCTAGGGTGTGCAAAATTGCAAAGACAAGGGCCTAGCGTGTGCAAAATTGCAAGAACAAGGGCCAAGCGCGTGCAAAATTGCAAGAACAAGGGCCTAGCAAGTGCAAAATAGCAAGAGCAAGGGCCTAGCGTCTGCACAGAATCAAGAACAAGGGCCTAGCGTTCGCGAAATAGCAAGAACAAGGGCCTAGGCTGTGCAAAATAAAAAGAACAAGGGTCTAGCAAGTGCAAAATTGCAATGACAAGGGCCTAGCGTGTGCAAAATAAAAAGAACAAGGGCATAGCGTGTGCAAAATAGCAAGAACAAGGGCCTAGCGTGTGCAAAATAAAAAGAACAAGGGCCTAGCGTGTGCAAAATAAAAACAACAAGGGCCTAGCGTGTGCAAAATTGCAAGAACAAGGGCCTAGCATGTGCACAATTGCAAGAACAAGGGCCTAGCGAGTGCAAAATAGCAAGAGCAAGGGCCTAGCGTGTGCAAAAAATCAAGAACAATGGCCTAGCATTCGCGAAATAGCAAGAGCAAGGGCCTAGTGTGTGCAAACAAAAAAGGACAAGGGTCTAGCATGTGCAAAATTGCAAGAACAAGGGCCTAGCGTGTGCAAAATAAAAAGAACAAGGGCATAGCGTGTGCAAAATAGCAAGAACAAGGGCCTAGCGTGTGCAAAATAAAAAGAACAAGGGCCTAGCGTGTGCAAAATAAAAAGAACAAGGGCCTAGCGTGAGCAAAATTGCAAGAACAAGGGCCTAGCGTGTGCAAAATAGCAAGAACAAGGGCCTAGCGTGTGCAAAATAAAAAGAACAAGGGTCTAGCATGTGCAAAATTGCAAGAACAAGGGCCAAGTGTGTGCAAAATAAAAAGAACAAGGGCCTAGCGTGTGCAAAATAAAAAGAACAAGGGCATAGCGTATGCAAAATAGCAAGAATAAGGGCCTAGCGTGTGCAAAATAAAAAGAACAAGGGCCTAGGGTGTGCCAAATTGCAAGAACAAGGGCCTAGCGTGTGCAAAATTGCAAGAACAAGGGCCTAGCGCGTGCAAAATTGCAAGAACAAGGGCATAGCAAGTTCAAAATAGCAAGAGCAAGGGCCTAGCGTGTGCAAAAAATCAAGAACAAGGGCCTAGCGTTCGCGAAATAGCAAGAACAAGGGCCTAGGCTGTGCAAAATAAAAAGAACAAGGGTCTAGCAAGTGCAAAATTGCAATGACAAGGGCCTAGCGTGTGCAAAATAAAAAGAACAAGGGCATAGCGTGTGCAAAATAGCAAGAATAAGGGCCTAGCGTGTGCAAAATAAAAAGAACAAGGGCCTAGGGTGTGCAAAATTGCAAGAACAAGGGCCTAGCGTGTGCAAAATTGCAAGAACAAGGGCCTAGCGCGTGCAAAATTGCAAGAACAAGGGCCTAGCAAGTGCAAAATAGCAAGAGCAAGGGCCTAGCGTGTGCAAAAAATCAAGAACAAGGGCCTAGCGTTCGCGAAATACCAAGAACAAGGGCCTAGGCTGTGCAAAATAAAAAGAACAAGGGTCTAGCAAGTGCAAAATTGCAATGACAAGGGCCTAGCGTGTGCAAAATAAAAAGAACAAGGGCCTAGCGTGTGCAAAATAAAAACAACAAGGGCCTTGCATGTGCAAAATTGCAAGAACAAGGGCCTAGCGTGTGCAAAATTGCAAGAACAAGGGCCTAGCGTGTACACAATTGCAAGAAAAAGGGCCTTGCAAGTGCAAAATAGCAAGAGCAAGGGCCTAGCGTGTGCAAAAAATCAAGAACAAGGTCCTGGCATTCGCGAAATAGCAAGAGCAAGGGCCTAGCGTGTGAAAAAAAAAAAAGAACAAGGGTCTAGCATGTGCAAAATTGCAAGAACAAGGGCCTAGCGTGTGCAAAATAAAAAGAACAAGGGCATAGCGTGTGCAAAATAGCAAGAATAAGGGCCTAGCGTGTGCAAAATAAAAAGAACAAGGGCCTAGCGTGTGTCAAATAAAAGAACAAGTGCCTAGCGTGTGCAAAATTGCAAGAACAATGGCCTAGCGTGTGCAAAATTGCAAGAACAAGGGCCTAGCAAGTGCAAAATAGCAAGAGCAAGGGCCTAGCTTGTGCAAAAAATCAAGAACAAGGACCTAGCGTTCGCGAAATAGCAAGAACAAGGGCCTAGCATGTGCAAAAAAAAAAAAGAACAAGGCTATAACGTGTGCAAAATAAAAAGAACAAGGGTATGGCGTGTGCAAAATAGCAAGAATAAGGGCCTAGCGTGTGCAAAATAAAAAAAACAAGGGCCTAGCGTGTGCAAAATAAAAAGAACAAGAGCCTAGCGAGTGCAAAATTGCAAGAACAAGGGCCTAGCGTGTGCAAAATTGCAAGAACAAGGGCCTAGCGCGTGCACAATTCCAAGAACAAGGGCCTAGCGGGTGCAAAATAGCAAGAGCAAGGGCCTAGCGTGTGCAAAATAAAAAGAACAAGGGTCTAGCATGTGCAAAATTGCAAGAACAAGGGCCTAGCGTGTGCAAAATAAAAAGAACGAGGGCATAGCGTATGCAAAATAGCAAGAACAAGGGCCTAGCGTGTGCAAAATAAAAAGAACAAGGGCCTAGCGTGTGCAAAATTGCAGGAACAAGGGCCTAGCATGTGCAAAATTGCAAGAACAAGGGCCTAGCGAGCGCAAAGTAGCAAGAGCAAGGGCTAGCGTGTGCAAAAAATCAAGAAAAAGGGCCTAGCATTAGCGAAATAGCAAGAACAAGGGCCTAGCGTGTGCAAAATAAAAAGAACAAGGGTCTAGCATGTGAAAAATTGCAAGAACAAGGGCCTAGTGTGTGCAAAAAAAAAAGAACAAGGGCATAGCGTGTGCAAAATAGCAAGAACAAGGGCCTAGCGAGTGCAAAATAGCAAGAGCAAGGGCCTAGCGTGTGCAAAAAATCAAGAACAAGGGCCTAGCGTTCGCAAAATAGCAAGAACAAGGGCCTAGCGTGTGCAAAATAAAAAGAACAAGGGCCTAGCTTATGCAAAATCAAAAGAACAAGGGCCTAGCGTGTGCAAAATTGCAAGAACAAGGGCCTAGCGTGTGCAAAATAGCAAGAACAAGGGCCTAGCGCGTGCAAAATTGCAAGAACAAGGGCCTAGCGCGTGCAAAATTGCAAGAACAAGGGCCTAGCAAGTGCAAAATAGCAAGAGCAAGGGCCTAGCGTGTGCAAAAAATCAAGAACAATGACCTAGCGTTCGCAAAATAGCAAGAACAAGGGCCTAGCATGTGCAAAAAAAAAAAGAACAAGGGCATAGCGTGTGCAAAATATAAAGAACAAGGGCATGGCGTGTGCGAAATAGCAAAAACAAGGGCCTAGCGTGTGCAAAATAAAAAAAACAAGGGCCTAGCGTGTGCAAAAAAAAAAGAACAAGGGCCTAGCGAGTGCAAAATTGCAATAACAAGGGCCTAGTGTGTGCAAAATTGCAAGAACAAGGGCCGAGCGTGTGCACAATTGCAAGAACAAGGGCCTAGCAAGTGCAAAATAGCAAGAGCAAGGGCCTAGCGTGTGAAAAAAACAAAGAACAAGGGTCTAGCATGTGCAAAATTGCAAGAACAAGGGCCTAGCGTGTGCAAGATAAAAAGAACATTGGCCTAGCGTGTGCAAAATAAAAAGAACAAGGGCCTAGCGTGTGCAAAATTGCAAGAACAAGGGCCTAGCGAGTGCAAAATAGCAAGAGCAAGGGCCTAGCGTGTGCAAAAAATCAAGAACAAGGGCCTAGCGTTCGCAAAATAGCAAGAACAAGGGCGTAGCGTGTGCAAAGTAAAAAGAACAAGGGCCTAGCTTATGCAAAATAAAAAGAACAAGGGCCTAGCGTGTGCCAAATTGCAAGAACAAGGGCCTAGCGTGTGCAAAATAGCAAGAACAAGGGCCTAGCGCGTGCAAAATTGCAAGAACAAGGGCCTAGCGCGTGCAAAATTGCAAGAACAAGGGCCTAGCAAGTGCAAAATAGCAAGAGCAAGGGCCTAGCGTGTGCAAAAAATCAAGAACAAGGACCTAGCGTTCGCAAAATAGCAAGAACAAGGGCCTAGCATGTGCAAAAAAAAAAAAACAACGGTATAGCGTGTGCAAAATAAAAAGAACAAGGGCATGGCGTGTGCAAATTTGAAAGAACAAGGGCCTAGCGTGTGCAAAATAAAAAAAAAAACAAGGGCCTAGCGTGTGCAAAATAAAAAGAACAAGGGCATAGCGTATGCAAAATAGTAAGAACAAGGGCCTAGCGTGTGCAAAATAGAAAGAACAAGGGCCTAGCGTGTGCAAAATTGCCAGAACAGGGGCCTAGAATGTGCAAAATTGCAAGAACAAGGGCCTAGCGAGCCCAAAGTAGCAAGAGCAAGGGATAGCGTGTGCAAACAATCAAGATAAAGGGCCTAGCGTTCGCGAAATAGCAAGAACAAGGGCCTAGCGTGTGCAAAATAAAAAGAACAAGGGTCTAGCATGTGAAAAATGTGAAGCAAGGAAAACAGGAATGAGATGACTAAGTCAGAGTTGGGTACAAATACAACCCTAGAAAGCTGTACCCCATATGTGCTACCCCACTATAGCCTACAAACATGCATCAGTTATAATAATCCGACACACCCCCATAGGCAAAGTGGGGGAGAACAAGGGGTCACAAGACCAGTCAAGCAAAGCAAAGCAAAGCAAGCTCAGGGTGGATCACAACGTCACCACACAGTCCGAGCACAAGAACAGGGCCAGAGGCCAGTTCACATGCAGGAGTACAGACATATATATAAAACTAGACAAGCAAGAGCAGGTATATATATATGTCACAGTACAAGTGAAGTCAAGAGGAGAGCAAGTGAGGCAAGACAGGCACAAGACCCAGCTGGGTGCAAAAGCGCTGATGGTCACAAGGCGCGAGTGCCTTGGTGAACACATCAGCGGTGTTGGCCTCAGAGGCCACGTACGCAAGTCGCAACTGACCACGCTGCTGCAGCTCACGAGCAAGGAAGTAGCGGAGAGCAATGTGCTTCGTTCTGTGCTCCAAGCGCTGCTCTCGACACAAGGCCAGCATGGCCTTGTTGTCTACGTACAGCACTGGAGGAGAACGAGGCGGCTCTCCAAGGTCAGTCAGCAGGTAGGTGAGCCAGCGAAGCTCCTGTGCAGCCATGGCCCCGGCGTAGATCTCAGCCTCACAACTGGAGCCGAGAACCGAAGACGAGCGAGTAGACCGCCACGAGACAGAGCCGGAACCAAGGCTGAAGGTGTAACCCTGTGACGACCGCTGCGTAGCCTGGTCGTCAGCCCAAGAAGCGTCCGCAAGGCCGGTAAGGACCACTGGACTGCGCCCTCCAAGCACTAGCCCCATGCCCGACGTACTGCACAGGTAGCGCAATACCCTCTTCGCTGCAGCCATGTGCTCTGGTCGGTGTCTCCCAGGAGCAACATAGCGTGCAAGAATGCTCAGAGGGTATGCAAGGTCAGGTCGTGTGCAGGTCATCAGGTACATGAGGCAGCCAACAAGCTCTGCATACGGACCACTCGACTCTACGGACTCATCCGAAGGCAGAGCTGAGAGTGAGTGGCGAGTAGGCAGAGGAGTGGCCTGAGGCGAGGAGTACGTGAAGCCGAAGCGCTGAAGGACCTGCTGCACCATGTGTGACTGAGTCAAGGTAATGGTGCGGCGTGCTCTGTCCCGAGTGATCTGCAAGCCAAGGTAGCTGCGCAGTTCACCCAGGTCTGTGCACGTGTGTCTCTTCAGCAGCTCGGACTTCACGTAGGCGAGTCCAGCAGTGTCCGCTGTGGCAAAGACCAAGTCGTCGACGTACACGAGGATGTAGAACGGCGGCAGGGAAGTGTCGGTGCGAAGAAACAGCGACGGGTCAGCAGTAGAAGGAGCAAACCCAAGAGCCGCAAGCGTAGTCCTCAGTGTGTCGTGCCACTCACGCGGTGCCTGGCGGAGACCGTAGACTGGCCGTCGGAGGCTCCACTGGGTGCCAGGAGGGAAAGTCCCAGTGAAGCCAGGTGGACGACGCAGCCAGATCTCCTCGTGCAGGCTACCCTGCAGGAACGCAGTGCTGAAGTCGAGAGAGTGAAGCTCGTAGTCGCGCTGAGCAGCTATGTGCAGCAGCACCCGAAGAGTGGTCATCTTCGGGGTGGGAGAGAAGGTATGAAAGTAGTCAACTCCCTGCCGCTGACTGAAGCCACGAGCAACGTACCGCGCCTTGAAGACAGGTGGAGAGCCCGGCGGCCGCTTCACCCTGAAGATCCACATGCCACTGACGATGTTCGCCCCAGGAGGGGGAACCGCGTCAACGTAGGTGCCTGTGGACTTCCAGGAGGCCATCTCTGCATCCATAGCTGCCTGCCACTGAGAGGAGTAGGGACCCTCTACGGCCTCCGCGTAAGAACGCGGAGTCGGGATGTCTAGTGCATCCGGGTCTCCCTCAGGGGCAAGCAGGACAGACGCGAGATGAGGTGAAGCAGCCGCTAGACACTGTAACTCCTCCTGCCTGTCCTCTAGGACGTCCGTGCCAAGAGCACACTCACCCCCGACGGACGGAGGACAGACAGACGCAGACTCAGCAACAAGACTAGCAGCGTAGTCGAGACGACAGCGAGCAGCAAAGTCGACGAGCTCAGCGACTAGAGCAGACGCAGCAGTGGACTCAAAAGAGGGGTCAGTGACGACAGTAGCAAGTAGACGCGTGACAGTAGGACTGGCAGCACGAAGAGAGTCCGACTCAGGGTCGGCAAGCGCAGGAAGAGAGGACTCAGGAGGAGAAGGCAAAGGGGCACGCAGAGGAGCAGTGGACGGACGCAGAGACATCCGGTGCGTGCCAGGGACAGGAGGAGGACGCTGACGCGAACTGCGACCACTAGCGCGAGCAGCACGAACAGGCGACGCGGGACGAGACGCAGGCTCACGACGCTCAGCAAGACCTCCAGTAGGACCAGTGTAAGGAGAGGGAGCAGGCAGTGGAGAGGAAGGCTCCAGCAGGGACTGCGACTGGACAGGCGGTGGACCCTCTACTGGAGGAGAAAGACCAAGAACCTGCTGCAAGAGCGGAACGAAGTACGGCCGAGGCCGCGCGGCAGCTCCAGACTCAGCAGGGACAGCACCAGCACCCTCAGCGACAGCACCAGCGCCACCCACACCTCCAGCGGCAGGACCAACAGCAGTAGGCTCAGCACCAGCGCCCTCAGCAGCTCCAGCTCCAGGAGGACCCGCAGGTCCAGCAGCTCCGGGACCGGCAGCACCCGCACCCTCGACAGTCGAAGAAGCTCCAGCTCCAGCTCCAGCAGCACCTCCAGACTCAGCAGCACGCCTCCAGCGGCGAGCGAACCACTCGCGCAGCTCCTGTGGAGAGAGGGGCTCCCGGCGAGACGCAGGAGCAGGAGAAACCCCAGGCTCAGCAGCTCCAGACGCAGCACCCCCAGGCTCAGCAGCTCCCAGCTCAGCACCCCCAGGCTCAGCAGCTCCCGACCCAGCACCCCCAGACCCAGCACCTCCACGCACAGCACCCCCCCGCTCAGCACCCCCAGGCTCCGCACCCTCCGCAGTAGCACCCTCAGGCCCAGCACCCCCAGCAGTAGCACCCCCAGGCTCAGCACCCCCGCGCACAGCACCCCCAGAGTCAGCACCCCCAGGCTCAGCACCCGCAGCAGCACCAGAGTCACCAGTAACCTCGATCGGGTCAACGGCGTCTACCTAGGACACACCTGAGGGGGCAGGAACCTGAGGGGGGAGGGGGTCTACCGGGGGGGGAACCGGCACAAGGAAGTCCGGGGGAGGGGGAAGGGAAGGAGTGCGGTAGGGGAAGAGACGGTAGAAGGGGACTGACTCGTCGAACGTGACGTCCTGGGAGGACAGAACACGACGAGAGGAGGGGTGGTAAAACTGCCACCCTGGGGCGTCAGTGGGGAAGCCAAGGAAGACACAGGGAGCAGCACGAGGGGACAGCTTGTCCGCAGACAAGTCGCGGACAAACGCCCGAGATCCCCAGACACGGAACACAGACGCATCGCCAACCTTCCCCGTCCACAGCAAGGCTGGGGACATCGCAGGCCGAGAGACCCGGGGGTGAAGGTTGAGCTGATGCGCCGCGTACCTCACCGCAAACGACCACAGAAAATTGGGGGCAGCCGCATGCATCATGGACGTACGAGCGACATCCATGACCATGCCAATGCGGCGCTCAGCAATCCCATTTTGCTGTGGTGAGTCCGGAAGCGTGAAGGTCTGGCGGATCCCCCGCGCACGACAGTAGTCCCGCAGGAGGCGAGAAGAGAACTCTCCGCCTCTGTCCGAGTGCAGACGCATAACAAGAAAGTCCGAGCCGAAGCTCTTCCTGAGCTGGAGACGAGCCTCGCGGATCCAGTCGATCAGCACCTCAGTGACCGCACCCTTGCTGCGCAAGGGGAGGACTGTGGTGTAACGCGAGTAGTCGTCAACCACCAACAGGAAGTAGCGCTCGTATCCCTGCCCACGGACGGGGGCTGGGCCCCACACATCCATGTGAAGCGTCTGCAGGGGAGCCTCTGTCGGGGGGAAGTGGGAGGAGTGAGGAGTAGCCCGGAGGCGACCCTCGACACAGGGGACACAGGAAGGTCCTGGCCCGGAGGGGAGAGGAGGGAGAGACTGGGGAAGACCAGAGACAAGGACACGGGAAGCCATGCTCCGAAGACGGGGCAAGGAGGGGTGGCCAAGACGGTGGTGCCACAGGAGAGTCTCGTGAGACAGGAGGCGACAAGAACAGGGGGCAGACTCAGGACCTGACCGGGACGCAGCAGCAAGCACCTGACCCGACGCAGCCACCTGACCAGACGCAGGGACAGGAGGAGACTCAACGGTCAGGGTGTAGAGACTCGACCCCGGCCGACGCGAGAACGTGGCCAGGTGTCGGCCTGTGCGTGCCTCCGTGCAGTGGGTCACCCGCTGACTCGCAGGAGTGAACTGGTGAACCCCCACATCCTGCAGGTCCGCTCCACTCACCAAGTTCGTAGAGAACGAGGGAAGGTACAGACCCGACAGGGTGCCCGAAGGGGCAGCCGGACACGGGAGGACAGTGGAGAAGTGAGACAGGACAGGACCCCCAGAGGGGTCAGCAAGGGAGACCGCAACCGGCCGGCCGAGCGGCGTAAGGGTAGTGCGGTCTCGAAAGAAGGAGCGAGAAGCTCCGGAGTCAAGTGTGAAAGTGAGGGAGGACGAGGACGACGCAGTACCTGAGAGCGCAGTCTCACCAGTACCTGAGAGCACAGACGCACTGGCACCTAGAGCAGCAGCCTCACAAGCACCTAGCGCAGCAGTACCAATGCCCGGGTCGGGCTGGAAACAACGGTAACCCTCATTCTCCTCACTATAATCCACAACATACATAGCAGCAAGGATAGCATCAAAATCAAGATCAAAGATCACTACACCAGCCCTCTGAAGCTCATCCCAGCGAGGGATCTCACTAGCCCCAGGGAACTGCTGACGCAAACATGCATCAGTTATAATAATCCGACAAAAAATTGAAAGAACAAGGGCCTAGTGTGTGCCAAAAAAAAAAGAACAAGGGCATAGCATGTGCAAAATAGCAAGAACAAGGGCCTAGCGAGTGCAAAATACCAAGAGCAAGGGCCTAGCGTGTGCAAAAAATCAAGAACAAGGGCCTAGCGTTCGCAAAATAGCAAGAACAAGGGCCTAGCGTGTGCAAAATAAAAAGAACAAGGGCCTAGCTTATGCAAAATAAAAAGAACAAGGGCCTAGCGTGTGCAAAATTGCTAGAACAAGGGCCTAGCGTGTGCAAAATAGCAAGAACAAGGGCCTAGCGCGTGCAAAATTGCAAGAACAAGGGCCTAGCGCGTGCAAAATTGCAAGAACAAGGGCCTAGCAAGTGCAAAATAGCAAGAGCAAGGGCCTAGCGTGTGCAAAAAATCAAGAACAAGGACCTAGCGTTCACAAAATAGCAAGAACAAGGGCCTAGCATGTGCAAAAAAAAAAGAACAAGGGCATAGCGTGTGCAAAATAAAAAGAACAAGGGCATGGCGTGTGCGAAATAGCAAGAACAAGGGCCTAGCGTGTGCAAAATAAAAAAACAAGGGCCTAGCGTGTGCAAAATAAAAAGAACAAGGGCCTAGCGAGTGCAAAATTGCAAGAACAAGGGCCTAGCGTGTGCAAAATTGCAAGAACAAGGGCCTAGCGTGTGCACAATTGCAAGAACAAGGGCCTAGCGAGTGCAAAATGGCAAGAGCAAGGGCCTAGCGTGTGAAAAAAAAAAAGAACAAGGGTCTAGCATGTGCAAAATTGCAAGAACAAGGGCCTAGCGTGTGCAAGATAAAAAGAACATTGGCCTAGCGTGTGTAAAATAAAAAGAACAACGGCCTAGCGTGTGCAAAATTGCAAGAACAAGGGCCTAGCGTGGGCAAAATTGCAAGAACAAGGGCCTAGCGAGTGCAAAATAGATAGAGCAAGGGCCTAGCGTGTGCAAAAAATCAAGAACAAGGGCCTAGCGTTCGCAAAATAGCAAGAACAAGGGCGTAGCGTGTGCAAAATAAAAAGAACAAGGGCCTAGCTTATGCAAAATAAAAAGAACAAGGGCCTAACGTCTGCAAAATTGCAAGAACAAGGGCCTAGCGTGTGCAAAATAGCAAGAACAAGGGCCTAGCGTGTGCAAAATTGCAAGAACAAGGGCCTAGCGCATGCAAAATTGCAAGAACAAGGGCCTAGCAAGTGCAAAATAGCAAGAGCAAGGGATTAGCGTGTGCAAAAAATCAAGAACAAGGACCTAGCGTTCGCAAAATAGCAAGAACAAGGGCCTAGCATATGCAAAAAAAAAAGAACAAGGGCATAGCGTGTGCAAAATAAAAAGAACAAGGGCATGGCGTGTGCAAAATAGCAAGAACAAGGGCCTAGCGTGTGCAAAAAAAAAAAAAAAAACAAGGGCCTAGCGTGTGCAAAATAAAAAGAACAAGGGCATAGCGTATGCAAAATAGCAAGAACAAGGGCCTAGCGTGTGCAAAATTGCCAGAAGAGGGGCCTAGCATGTGCAAAATTGCAAGAACAAGGGCATAGCGAGCCCAAAGTAGCAAGAGCAAGGGCTAGCGTGTGCAAACAATCAAGAACAAGGGCCTAGCGTTCGCGAAATAGCAAGAACAAGGGCCTAACGTGTGCAAAATAAAAAGAACAAGTGTCTAGCATGTGAAAAATTGCAAGAACAAGGGCATAGCGTGTGCAAAATAGCAAGAACAAGGGCCTAGCGAGTGCAAAATAGCAAGAGCAAGGGCCTAGCGTGTGCAAAAAATCACGAACAAGGGCCTAGCGTTCGCAAAATAGCAAGAACAAGGGCCTAGCGTGTGCAAAATAAAAAGAACAAGGGCCTAGCTTATGCAAAATAAAAAGAACAAGGGCCTAGCGTGTGCAAAATTGCAAGAACAAGGGCCTAGCGTGTGCAAAATAGCAAGAACAAGGGCCTAGCGCGTGCAAAATTGCAAGAACAAGGGCCTAGCGCATGCAAAATTGCAAGAACAAGGGCCTAGCAAGTGCAAAATAGCAAGAGCAAGGGCCTAGCGTGTGCAAAAAATCAAGAACAAGGACCTAGCGTTCGCAAAATAGCAAGAACAAGGGCCTAGCATGTGCAAAAAAAAAAAAACAAGGGCATAGCGTCTGCAAAATAAAAAGAACAAGGGCATGGCGTGTGCGAAATAGCAAGAACAAGGGCCTAGCGTGTGCAAAATAAAAAAACAAGGGCCTAGCGTGTGCAAAATAAAAGGAACAAGGGCCTAGCGAGTGCAAAATTGCAAGAACAAGGGCCTAGCGTGTGCAAAATTGCAAGAACAAGGGCCTAGCGTGTGCACAATTTCAGGAACAAGGGCCTAGCGGGTGCAAAATAGCAAGAGCAAGGGCCTAGCGTGTGCAAAAAAAAAAAAACAAGGGCCTAGCGTGTGCAAAATAAAAGGAACAAGGGCCTAGCGAGTGCAAAATTGCAAGAACAAGGGCCTAGCGTGTGCAAAATTGCAAGAACAAGGGCCTAGCGTGTGCAAAATTGCAAGAACAATGGCCTAGCGCATGCAAAATTGCAAGAACAAGGGCCTAGCAAGTGCAAAATAGCAAGAGCAAGGGCCTAGCGTGTGCAAAAAATCAAGAACAAGGACCTAGCATTCGCGAAATAGCAAGAACAAGGGCCTAGCATGTGCAAAAAAAAAAAAACAAGGGTCTAGCATGTGCAAAATTGCAAGAACAAGGGCCTAGCGTGTGCAAAATTGCAAGAACAAAGGCCTAGCGCGTGCAAAATTGCAAGAACAAGGGCCTAGCAAGTGCAAAATAGCAAGAGCAAGGGCCTAGGGTGTGCAAAAAATCAAGAACAAGGACCTAGCGTTCGCGAAATAGCAAGAACAAGGGCCTAGCATGTGCAAAAATAAAAAAAACAAGGGTCTAGCATGTGCAAAATTGCAACAACAAGGGCATAGCGTGTGCAAAATAAAAAGAACAAGGGCATAGCGTGTGCAAAAAAGCAAGAACAAGGGCCTAGCATGTGCAAAATAAAAAGAACAAGGGCCTAGCATATGCAAAATTGCAAGAACAAGGGCCTAGCGTGTGCAAAATAAAAAGAACAAGGGCATAGTGTGTGCAAAATAGCAAGAACAAGGGCCTAGCGTGTGCAAAATAGCAAGAACAAGGGCCTAGCGTGTGCAAAATAAAAAGAACAAGGGTCTAGCATGTGCAAAATTGCAAGAAAAAGGGCCAAGTGTGTGCAGAATAAAAAGAACAAGGGCCTAGCGTGTGCAAAATTGCAAGAACAAGGGCCTAGCGTGTGCAAAATTGCAAGAACAAGGGCCTAGCGCATGCAAAATTGCAAGAACAAGGGCCTAGCAAGTGCAAAATAGCAAGCGCAAGGGCCTAGCGTGTGCAAAAAATCAAGAACAAGGACCTAGCGTTCGCGAAATAGCAAGAACAAGGGCCTAGCATGTGCAAAAAAAAAAAACAAGGGTCTAGCATGTGCAAAATTGCAAGAACAAGGGCCTAGCGTGTGCAAAATAAAAAGAACAAGGGCATAGCGTGTGCAAAATAGCAAGAACAAGGGCCTAGTGTGTGCAAAAAAAAAAAAAAACAAGGGCCTAACGTGTGCAAAATTGCAAGAACAAGGGCCTAGCATGTGCAAAATTGCAAGAACAAGGGCCTAGCGAGCTAAAACTAGCAAGAGCAAGGGCTAGCGTGTGCAAAATATCTATATAAAGGGCCTAGCGTTCGGGAAATAGCAAGAACAAGGGCCTAGCGTGTGCAAAATAAAAAGAACAACGGTCTAGCATGTGAAAAATTGCAAGAACAAGGGCCTAGTGTGTGCAAAAAAAAAAGAAGGGCATATCGTGTGCAAAATAGCAAGAACAAAGGCCTAGCGTGTGCAAAAAAAAAAGAACAAGGGCCTAGCGTGTGCAAAATAAAAAGAACAAGGGCCTAGCGTGTGCAAAATTGCAAGAACAAGGGCCTAGCGTGTGCAAAATTGCAAGAACAAGGGCCTAGCGCATGCAAAATTGCAAGAACAAGGGCCTAGCAAGTGCAAAATAGCAAGCGCAAGGGCCTAGCGTGTGCAAAAAATCAAGAACAAGGACCTAGCGTTCGCGAAATAGCAAGAACAAGGGCCTAGCATGTGCAAAAAAAAAAAAACAAGGGTCTAGCATGTGCAAAATTGCAAGAACAAGGGCCTAGCGTGTGCAAAATAAAAAGAACAAGGGCATAGCGTGTGCAAAATAGCAAGAACAAGGGCCTAGTGTGTGCAAAAAAAAAAAAAAACAAGGGCCTAACGTGTGCAAAATTGCAAGAACAAGGGCCTAGCATGTGCAAAATTGCAAGAACAAGGGCCTAGCGAGCTAAAACTAGCAAGAGCAAGGGCTAGCGTGTGCAAAAAATCTATATAAAGGGCCTAGCGTTCGGGAAATAGCAAGAACAAGGGCCTAGCGTGTGCAAAATAAAAAGAACAACGGTCTAGCATGTGAAAAATTGCAAGAACAAGGGCCTAGTGTGTGCAAAAAAAAAAGAAGGGCATATCGTGTGCAAAATAGCAAGAACAAGGGCCTAGCGTGTGCAAAAAAAAAAGAACAAGGGCCTAGCGTGTGCAAAATAAAAAGAACAAGGGCCTAGCGTGTGCAAAATTGCAAGAACAAGGGCCTAGCGTGTGCAAAATAGCAAGAACAAGGGCCTAGCGTGTGCAAAATAAAAAGAACAAGGGTCTAGCATATGCAAAATTGCAAGAACAAGGGCCAAGCGTGTGCAAAATAAAAAGAACACGGGCATAGCGTGTGCAAAATAGCAAGAATAAGGGCCTAGCGTGTGCAAAATAAAAAGAACAAGGGCCTAGCGTGTGCAAAATTGCAAGAACAAGGGCCTAGCGTGTGCAA